GGGGTTGAGGTTACAACAACGACGACTATAGAACTGGTTAATGTAGCTCTCCAGGAACACGAGGTGTTCTTTGCTAACTTCATTGTGCAGGTTGATGGCTCCTGGGATAAGTCCTCCACTAGGGCGGGTATTGGTCGGGCTATCACTGGGCCTGACCAATCTTACGTCTTTGATGGTGGAGGCTGATATGGCACGGCTTCCTCGGCTTTACAATGTGAGGCATGGGAATGTCTAGAAGCAATAAAATGGGCAACTAATCAAGGGAAAGAGGAAGTTCTCATTCTTTCTGACTCTGCCTTACTGCTAGAAAACTTAAGAGGTACACGAGGAAATGATATCTCGATTGCGTGGATGATTGAAGAAATTAGGACTGTTGCAGTCAGTTTGAGGATATGCTCTATTAGTAAGGTATAACGGGAACAGGTGCAACGGGCTAATGATATTGCAAAAGAGTGCCGCTGTACCCTCTCTAATTTAGTGATTTAGTGGTATCGTCTTGTAATTTGCTATTCTCAAAAAAAAATATATATATATATATATATTATAACCAAAGTACTTGAACAGAACATAATGCAATGCCTGAGTATCATAGGCTTATCAATATAATGTAGTTAGTTAGGCTATTATATCTAATCCTCCACGAATTACTGCCTAACAACATCTTTAAATTTGACAGTCGCATGCGATTCCACAACTTGTGATATGAAAATTAGTTTGATGGGGTTGAACCATTTTATTTTTGAGAAATTCTCAATGATAAGCCTAGTTTTGAATAATTTTCTTTGGTAGTCAAACCAAAAGTTTACTTTTCAATAATAATCCCGCTTCATCCACATTCTTAAGTAGAGGTGTCAATTCGAATGATCGAATCGGGTATGATGATGAGGTCGGGTCGGATCAATTTTTAAAGTTGTGTCATGCTAAATTATTATGTTCACGCCAGTCCAAATCTGAATCGGATGTTTTTTAAATCGGTTTCGGATCGGATCGGATCAGATATGGTTTTGTCACCTCCATTCTTAAGTGTAAAAAAAAAAAAAACCGCTTATAAAAAATATATAACAAAAACATATGATTATTATCTATTGATCCTTAAAAGAGAAAGGGAAAACTTAACCACCTATATTCACATTGTTGTTATAATTATAGTAATGACAACACATCATAATATTAAAGGGTTCTTATAATTGCTCTTTTAAATAAAATCACAAAAAATAACTATCTTGACATTGCATAAAACTCTCAGAAGTTGAGAATTAAAATTAAGTTTGATGACGACAACAACAACAAAGCCTTAGTCTCAAAATGATCTGGGGTCTATAAGACGTGACTAAGTTTTACGCTGGCCGCCACAAACCTACCGCAACTCTCCTCCTTAATCCAGGCTTGAAACTAGTAGTGATGAATGCCATAAAGTGATACTTACCGGCGGTGAATACCACAAAGTGACTAGTAAAAAAAAAACCAAAATATTGAATTACTCTCTCCGGGTCTCAATAAGTGTTACACTTATCAAATGCGGGCGTGTTTTAATAAGTGTTACACTTTCTTTTTTTATTGGCAAAAAGCTACATTTTAATATTATATGTCTCTCCTCTCCTGGTCCCCACCCAAACCCACTACATATTTTTTTATTATTTATTTCCTCTTACATTTATTACTTTTCAATAAATTATTAACCCCACTATTTTTCTTTTATAATTTTTTAATACTTCAACTACCCCACTTACCTCTTATTTTACCTAAGTCAATTAAATTGTCTAAAACTAAATGTCGATCAAAGTGTAACACTTATTAAAATACGGAGGGAATATTACAACAATAACAAAGCCTTAGTCCCAAAATTGAGTTACTATTGGGATGAATTCCGGCAACACCTAGACAACCGACACATATTCGAGCCAACTTTTTGGTTGTATTTGTCCCAAAATACGAAGTATAGCCACTGGGCCTAATAGACTCAAGTGCAACATTTTGAGACTGGTGGGCTGATATGTATGAGCGCCCAACAAATGGAACACCCCAAGTCTAGTTGAGTTTGCCCTTAATCAATTCAGTAACTTCAACTTTTTCAAAAATTTTAGTCAATTTATTGCGTTTGTAATATCTAACAGGGTTCATCTTATAATTAATTGGTTATAGTTAGAGTAGCTATTAAAAAAAATTCAGTCACCCTCACTTTTTTTTATAGAGTTTGTAAATTGATTGTTGATCAAGAAAACACTTTTTTTTTTTAGATTGTTACAAGAACAAGTGATGAGAATTGATCTTGGGATTGTTTGGGAGGAAAGCTCTAACCACTTAATTAGGAAATTACTATGGGATCACATCTTTGCAATTCATGTAAGCTTCATATTTTAATAACAAAATTAATATACCTTATCTTTCAATTTTTTTTATTATAGTTTATTAATTAATTAATTAATTAATTATTATTATTATTATTATTATTATTATTATTATTATTATTATTTGAACTCATTACTTTCCTTGTTATTTTACTCCTATTTATAATTTTGCAACTATTCATAATTTGAGAAAATCATCTAGGGTATTCTATGCATAAAAAAAGACATAATCATGTATGGAATAACTTGATTCACCTCAATACCTGTTTTATGTTTATTTACGGAGTATGTGTTAATATTCTTAGAGAGAATAAATATAAATTGCAGCTCATTTAATAAAAAAAACGGATTTTTTTGTGAGAAATTACCTAATAAAGCACAAAATTTGTGAGAAACTATCTAATAAAAAAAAATTGTAAGAAACTACATAATAAAAGGTAAAGTGTTGTAAAAGACTACCTTTGGCTAGATTTCAATCTTTGACCGACTTTTCCGGCATTGACCCACCATTAAACACCTCTAAAACCACCCGCTTTGATCCTCAAAACCAACACAACCCGCTTGAAACTACCTCTACTAAGCCGAAACCACCTTCTAACCCCAAAAACACCCAAAGAAAGTGGTTTTCGAGGTTCTTTTAGTGTAGAGTCAATGTCGAAATAATTGGTCAACATGGAAAATCCGGCTAGAGGTTACAACTAAGGGTGTCCGTTCGGTTTTCGGTTTGGATTTAGTCCAAATCCGATCCAATCCGAAATATAATTCGGTTTTCAATTTTCCAATCCGATCCGATCCGAATTTCTCTCTTGATCCAATCCGATCCAATCCGAATTACAATTCGGTTATTTGGATCCGATCCGAAAATCCGAATTATAATACATTATTTTTTTAGCGCCTAATACAATTATAAAAATAAAGCTTTACTATAAATAAAAGTCTTCAAAATCATGATTAAAATACATAGTTCAACGTCAAGTCATTAATTAATTAATACAAAGTCTCTCTAATTTATTTTATGTAGTATTTAGTATTTGAGTTAAACTTCAAAATATACAGAAATCCATATTTATACAAGGTTAATTTTACAATTCGGTTTTCGGTTTGGATTGGATCCAATTAGGGTTAATCCGATCCAATCCGAAAATCCGAATTTCCAAAAAATCTCAATCCGATCCGATCCGATTTAAAGTTCGGATCCGATCCGAATTGATAATTCGGTTTGGATTGGATTGGATTTCGGTTTTTATCCGAATTATGGACACCCCTAGTTACAACATTTTTCCTTTTATTTGGTAGTTTCTTACAACATTTTTTTATTAGGTAGTTTCTCACAAATTCTGGATTTTATTAGGTACGTAGTTTCTGATATAAAAATCCTAAAAAATATAACCAATAAATTTTGGTGGGACTCATGCCACCTAGGCCACACTATAAATTCATCAATGTTTCTATCGTTCCCAATATCAAATTAAAAATAAATGATAATATTTTTTTTGGTGCTCTACCTGGTTCACCCTTTGGGCTAAATCGGATTCGGGGCTCTGATTGGTTAGGTTCCAGTCCCCTCCCAATTGTTATTGCGGGGGATCGAACGCGCAGTCCTCCCTACCAAGTACAATCTCAATTTTCACTGCACCAACAACCAATTGGTAAAAATAAATGATAATATCAATCATCCTTAAGTGTAATTAGAATTTTACATTTGTGCAAAAATCTAGCCACACTTAAGGACTTGTTCTCTTCACCTGAAACAAGTAGATCTGGTCTGATTTTTTTAAGGTCTGATTTGATCTGAATTTTTATTATCTGGTCTGATCTGATTTGATTTAACAATTTGACTAAACTTTGATCGCATTTTAATACTAATCTATAAAGAAAAACATTATCAAAATGAATCTTGTTAGATTCGTCTCATTATGAACTTTTCAAGTATGTAATTTTTACAATTTTTTTTATACGCAATTAACAATATTTAACGATAAGTAAATGAAAATACAAAATTCTGATCTAAATATTTCTGATTTGATCTGAATTTATTAAGGAATAAGTAATAAATATTTGAAATAAATTGAAGAAAACAAGTCCTACTTCCCATAATTAGTATTTTACATCTGTGCTAAATTCTAGCCACGCATACTTCTTAAATACGGAATTTTGAAAATAATTTCATAGGAGGAAATGACAATTGATCTTCGTTCCGCTGTCGTTTACAATAATACAAGAAGAAGTGAAGAATAGTCTAAGAGTCCTTCATTTAAGGACACACTGATAAATCGATTATGTGGGCAAATCACAGCACCCAAACACTAGTTTCTTGTTTTTCTCCGAGTCTTAAAGTCCTGATGTTTGGCTTTGGCTACTTTGGTTACATGGAGTAAAATGTACCATATTAGCTATGAGAAGATTCAAACTCGAGACATTCGTGATATTAAGTCCTTTACATGAAAGATTTTAAATGAGAATCGAACCCAGAATCTTCTAAAATCGGGAGAGAAGCTCTAACCACTTGAGTTATCTCTTACTCTCAAGTCTCAACTTTATTTTCTTAATTTGCATGTAATGGATATAATAAGATTAAATGTAATTTCAAGCCATTTTTCAAGGGCTTATCAGCTTATGCAGTTACTTGCCCTGTATAGGTCATGGATCGTCTTTGGATTTTACTTGGATATGTTTTTACATACCAAATACAATGTTGGTTGTGGAATCACTTAGAAGACAAGTATTTTTGACAATTATTTTTTTTTTTTTTTTGAAGAAAAGATAGAGCATACTCTTTACTAATTTTTGACAATTATAATAATGTAATCTAGTTTTTATTTATTTATTTATAGCTAGGTCTGTATTACTCTTTAGTTTATAGTAAAAAAACAAAAATCATTCACTGATTATTTCATCCAAATGGCTGATTATATATAATGGAATGACTTTTCTTTAAAAACAAAAAATAATGGAATAACTAATTAATTAATTAATTTAATTTTAAGTTTTTACTTCAAAAAAAAAAAAAACCAATAGTATCAACATTACAATTTACAAGGTTTGTTTTCATTTGTTATAACACTATTATTTCTCAAACAAAATAAAATTCAAACAATACACATATTTTTCTAAAGTGGTGGAAAAAAAAAATCCTAGACTTTTATAGAAAAATTGACCTTATATATACTTAAAAGCAAAGAAATATATATTATAATTTCCACCATATACATTTCATAAAAATAGTAATAAAATCTTTTGAAATGTCTAGATAAATTTGTGTCAAAAAAAAAAAAAAAAAAAAAAGAAATGTCTAGATAAAGTCCATAAAGAAGAAAAACTCGAATTAAACTTTGTTCGCATTTTTCATTTTTCATACACTAAAACCCACAAATTCTAAAATAGACCTGGTCTACATTAAGTTTATTGTAGACCAACTACTGTCACGTGAGCTTTCTACGGGCAATTAATTTTCGTTGTTTCCCTCGCTTCATTACTCTCATCTTAGCTCTACCAATTTTACTCTGCCCCATTTTCTCTCTCTACCATCTGCATTTTTTTTTTTATTTTTCACTTCAAAGATCGAATTACTCTCTATATGCACACTTTCAAGCTCTGTGATCTTCTTCTTCAATGGTGAAACGCAAGGTGGTGGAACGCCTCTTAGAGCGCGAGGAGGTGGAACACAAAACCGTGGTAAAATCTCTTACTTCACCTTGATTTTTCAACTTTGTAAGCTTTTTAAGGCTTTTTTTTTTTTTTGCTTGAATTTTTGTTCATTAAAAACGATTTAGGGTTTCAATTTGTTCAATCCATGTATAATTATAATTAAATTGAATTTCGTTATTTTTTTTTTAATTAGTTGTTTGATTTAGGTAATTAGGGTTTTGATTAAATTTATCAGAAGGTGTTTGTGGTGGCTGAGTTGGGCGAGTGAGGCGAGGGTGTGGTTGGCGCGAGTTAAAAGTCTAGGTTTAAGTGAAGTTTGTTAGGGAGTATAAGATGTATAATGTTGTTGTTGGTGCGACTTCGATTTTTGAAGGAATGTATTATCGTAGTAGTTGTCTGCTTCCTGCTTCTGGCAATGTCAAGATTAATTCTAATAAAGCTTTAATGGAAGGTGTGGGTGTGGGGCTTGAGGCTGTTGGTAGGAACAGCGAAGGGGAGTTGTTGGCTGTTAAACTTGATGGAGAATGATTAAAAACCTTACAAAATTATCTAATTTCCACAACCTCTCCTCCTACTAATACCAAATTCCTCCAGTGTACCAAATTATATAAGAGTTTTATGTTGCTGAAATGCACAACTCGGGTAGCATTGACGCTAAAATATTATACAGCTCATTTCACATATCAGAGTAAAATCTTACTTTTACACCCTGTTCCACATATGTGATGGTTGCGAGAATGCGAGGTTCGAAATGCTAGCTTGAAATCTGAGTTATGTGAAAATCAAGCTCATATGTGATGCTTGAATGTTTGTAATGCTATCAAGGAGACGAAATGGCCGTTGATGATATTATACTTGCAGGAGAGCAATGTGAGTGTTTTTCTTTTAATCATGTTAGACAAAATGGCAATGTGAATGCGAGTTTCCTGCTAATGATGTAGAACAATCCTTTGCAAACTCTTTCCCCAAGGCTTTTTAGCTTTTGTGGATTTAGACTCTGGTTGATTTAATAATATTGCTTCCATGTTTTCCCCTAAAAAAAAGCTTTATGGGCATGATATATAAGTGACAAAAGTGTAAGTTGGGTTAGTTTAATCCATTAATTTTACTTAATTAGTTTGATTAGTTGTAGATTTAGTTTGATAAGCTTGTATGAGTTTTGTCATGCTATATCTTGTTCGTCTTTAATTTAGTGAAAATTGTTCACTTTAATTTAAAAGCCTATTAGCTCAATTGGTAGAGCATTGTGCAACTGCTCAATGATGTAGGTTCGAATCCTGCATAGGCTATGAAAAGCTGATTATCATTAAAGGGTGACTTCATTTAAATAAAGGTTTCGAATCATAACAATAGTGACTGTATAAATTGGTCAGTACATGTGTAAATATGGGTTATTATGTTAGTTTAAATAAGATTCACTATATGTAAAAATAGGGCAGCTATGACTGTATTTAAATAAAGGTCATTATAAGTGTAAATATGGTTTGATTATGTTTAAATAGGAATCACCATGCATGAAAATAGTATTACTCCAAAATAAATAACTATATTCAAATAGGATTATTACATGTTAAAAAAAGGTCACTATATTCAAATAGGAGTTACTACACGTAAAAAAAATATCACTAGATTCAAATAGGGTTACTACATGTAAAAAAAAGGTCACTATATTCAAATTCTACATGTAAATAAAAAATCACTATATTCAAATAGGGGTTACTTCATGTAAAAAAAAGGTCGCTATACTCAAATACTACATGTAATAATAAAAAAATAAAAAAATAAAAAGGGTCATTATATTCAAATAGGGATTACTACAAGTAAAATAAAGGTCACTATATTAAAATAGGGGTTAATCACCACATGTAATAAAAAGCCACTATATTCAATTAGGGGTTACTACATGTAAAAAAAAAGGTCACTATATTCAAACAAGGGTTACTACGTGTAAAGGGTCACTATATTCAAAACTAACCTATTTATTAAAATGGGTCACTATATGTCTAAATCTTATTAGCCTATGTAGGACTTGAACCTACATCATCTGTGCCAATAAAAATATACACAGTGCTCGACCAATTGAGCTAATAGGCTTATAGAGTTTTTAACTATATATGATTCTCCAAATCCTACAATGCTTTATTATAAAGGCATTAATGTCTCTGAGAACAATGTTTATCATGTTCCCTTCTTATCACCTAACATACATAAAAGCATTAGATATCGATCTGACCATTTTCGGCTAAATAAAAGAATAACATATACATGTTTTATTTGCATATACCTCATTCTTCTCGATCACAAGTTGTGGGACAAATTATACCACACTCCATTCACAATTGAAAATAATAACAACAGCTCATAACTCGTTCTACAACATTATGTATTTAACTTTCAGAAAAACAATCATTTGAAAACTGAGACATATAGCAATATATAGTTTTTTTTTTTTTTTTTTTGTTTTTAACACAACAAAGGTTGGAGCTATGGAAACCATTACAACAACATTAGAAATGTTTGAGCAAAATAAGATACTAATGGAGAAGCTAAAAGAGTACATAGCCAACACCACCTACTACAGTGATCCCAACTATCCAAAATATTAGAAGCTAAATAAGTTTTATCAAAAGCAAAAGAGGGATAATACCAAGTCATAAGCCTAAGCACGTGAGAGTTAATTGAAGGCAGCCATCTACTATATAGCTGATTGTGGAAACTCAATCAACTAGCCATACATATGTATAGTGACCCTTATAATAATATAGCAACCTTTCTCATACACTAATGTCATAATAGCCATAGTGACCTTTATTTAAGCATGTTGCTAGCCTCATCCCTCTATACTTCCATTTCACATGCCTTCAAAAGGGTTAAACTGGTCGTAAACCATATAAACCCTAATTTTATTTCTTTAATTTTTTAAAATCATTCCCATCATCTTTTCCACACCAAACTTCACTGCTAACGTTGGACAATAAATAAATCAAAAAATAACACAAATCAAAATTCTACTCACAACGTAATTTATGCAATTTTCCATAAGCTACATAAAATTACCAGAACTAAGTAACTAACACCATCATCAATCATTTAAACCTCAGATTATACACAAATGAAACCAAAATTGATCAAGAAAGTTTTAATTGATTAAAGTTTTAGAATAATTAAAAGCCCTAAGTAGAGAAAAGCAGATTGATTTGGGAAGAATTAAATCGAATTAAAAACATAATCAATTTTTATTCATGATATTTGCAGAAAATCAAAATAAAGAGTAATTGATACCTTCATTGTTATTTGTGTTTGATTCCGATTCAAAAACCGATTTGTTGAGACAATTGCAGCAGAATTTCTCAATTGATGAATTTGCATCATAATTTCGGCGACGATGTTCGCAGAGGAGAGAGAATATAGTTCATTTTTTTTAACGAAGGAATACTGGATTAGAAGGGGTTTTGTTATAATTGGGCTTGATAGGTGTGGGCCGGGTTATTTTCTTCAGACAACAGCACGTGAGGACAAAGGTCCACCCAAGAATTTTTACACTAAAACCAACAAGAGTTGGATCAAGTGATAAGCAGATTAATGTTGCTTAAGGAAGGTCTCGAGTTCGAGCCTCACCGAATATAAAAAACTTTTGTTGGGAGACTCACCCATCACAGGCTAAAGTGTGCAACCCAAGTCATCGGATTGAAATGTAGTCAATCGGGTGGGGCAAACTAAAAAAAAATGTATTTAGAAAAAAATATGATCAAATTTGTGACTTTAACACGGTACAATCTCTTGTGACTTTTCTTCCCCTCTTTTCCTATATAAACCAAATTATCTCAACTCTTAAACACACCATCAACAAATCAAAATCCAAACTTCAATTCATTCAATAAGCAAGTCTTCCAAGATGAGCCCCTCCTTAAGACCCCTCCTCATTTCCTGCCTCGTAATCATACTAGCTTCCGCAATCTCCACACCCATCCGCGCAGCCACCTTTACAGTTAAAAACCAATGTGGCTACACCGTGTGGGGCGCTGCACTACCCGGTGGTGCAAAGGAAATGCCCTCCGGTGACACATGGAATTTCGATGTCGATCCCAGCACGTCTGCTGGCCGTGTTTGGGGTCGTACCGGATGCACCTCCAGTGGGTCCAACAGCCTTAAGTGCACCACAGGAGACTGTGGTGGTGGGCTATTCGACTGCGGTACAAACTCTGGGGCACCCCCATTAACCATAGCTGAGTATACTTTAACAAACACACAGGATACCATAGATATATCTTTGGTTGATGGGTTTAATGTACCCATGAGTTTTAAGGCGGCTAGTGGATGCGACAATACCCCCTCTTGCGCTGCTAATGTTCTCGATTCGTGTCCTTCCGACCTTAAGGTTGATGGTGGGTGTTTAAGCGCTTGCAATAAGTACAATACTGATGAATATTGTTGTAGGAACCAATATGAAACAAATTGTCCTCCAAATAACTACTCCATGATTTTTAAGAATTTGTGCCCACAAGCTTATAGTTATGCTAAGGATGATCAAACTAGCACCTTTGTTTGCCCTCATGGTACCAACTATGTAGTTACATTTTGTCCTTGATGTATAATATGGAGGTGGTATGTATAGTACTCCTTATATATAGTTTATCAAGTATGTTGTACTGTATATTAAATGAATAAATGTAATGCTATCCTATTGTATTAATCTTGCTTTCAATAATGTGTCACTAAAGTAAAGCTCATGTATATCAAGAATGAATTTAACAAAGTTTTTGTTACATTTAAAACACGTTGTTACCTGATCGGGACTTATTACATGTAAATAATTATTGTAGTTACATAGGCCAGACTCTTGGAGGAGAGGGACCCAGATCTTTGCTTCAAGGTCATAAGGTCGAAAAAACTAGCATTACCGAGTTCTTATGTAAACTATATATGAAATTGTCTGATATTTGGCCGATCCATGGAGAATTAAATCGGTTAGAAATCACCAATTGTAAATTTAAAATTGAACCTAAATGACTTATTTATATTGACCTCAATACCAAACTAACCGAATTATATTGGATTGTATGTGACTCGTATCCAATGTTGAGCTGACCATTAGCTTGACAACTCAACGCTAAAGCGGAACAAACTAAACCCGATCTTGAATTACTTCAATCCAGGAAAAATAAGTTTGAACCGATTTTTCAAAATATGTGACCCATTCATTATACACAAACCATGCATCTGTAATCCGTGACTCATTTATCATGAGTCGTTTACAACCTATAACCATATTTAAATCAACCTAAAGCCCAACCCAAGTTAAATACATTCAGGCCCAAAAGCCCCAAATTATGCCTTATACTTGATTTCCATAATCTGTACATCTACTTTAAGTCCCCATAGGTTCCAAGCTTCCAGCATTTGATACTGAGTATTTTTAACTTAGGTTATCAATAATTAATTAAGTATAAATTTATAATACAGTAATATTCATTGGTACTAATTTATGTTTGAATGGTTTTATCATAATATATACCAAAATAATTCTTTATTAGTACCAACAAATGCAAATACGAGAATTTTATTTTTATTTGTATTGATAATAATAATTATATAGATACAACTTACCATCAACTGATCAGCATTATTATATTCATTAAAGATTCCAGCTATGATCGGCTCAGAATTTCTCTTTTATACTCCACCAAATGTTGAATACTACAATACTTTTTTTTTTTAGTGAACAACTAAGCGTGTCTTGTTCTTCACCTTAAAATTTTAGATACTTCGTATATGATTTGAATCTAAAAGATATCAACTATCAACTCCATTTCTTAATTTAGTATTGTGACATCTTGTTAAATTGATTTAATTGTATGCTTTTAAATTATAATAATGGTTCAAATGTGTTAGGAAGGTTATAAATTTCAAATAGAGTATTTTTCTAATTATTTTGACATAAAAAAGTTTAACCTGTATTTATGTTGGCAATAAAAGAGATACTTGATAAAAAAATAAAAAATATATCAATTTTTGATTAGGGATTGAGTCAAAATGGTGTAAAAATAAAATGTCTTGTTTTCCCTAATTCATTTTTATTTAATTTCTCTTGGTATGTCTAAATTTCAATGTAAATAAAACTTATCTTGCCATGTCGCATTTGTTACTCCATAACAATCAAATTATATTATAGGTAAAGATCAACAAATGAACAATCTATTGAATAGTTGTATCTTTTGTTATCTCATCTGACCCGCTTATTACTTCAATCGTACGCGTATATACTTCTTACATTCTTTTACATTTGAATATGAAGCATAGATTTTACTGTTGATATCTTTAACTATGGAGTATACATTATTAACAATAATATAAAATTAATATTTTGAAAATATAAGTTAATTATACAAGAAGTAATTTCGACCAATCCAATAGCATTACACTCCCTTCTATGTTTTTTTTTTTTTCTTCCAAAATTTTTATACTTTTACTAATCCAGGCCAATAATCCAACAATCTTAGGTAACAAATGAGTATGTTCAATCCCAGATTAAGAGAGAGGCTATTAGAGAGAGAAATTTTCACTCCGTATTACTTACATAAGGAAACTTTTAACAAACTATCTTGATATTTGCGCTTGTAACAAACTCACAAATATCTAGTTAGCATATATTTGGGCTGTAATCATAAATAGCTTAACAAAGTACTCGTATTACAGCAGTAAAATATGAATTTGTCAGTCAAATTAAAGTATAATAGCGAAAATAATATCAAAACGTGAAAATAATGAAGAAATTTTACAGGATAGTGCCGACACCGTTAGAATTTGTCCACTAAAATATGTTACGCTGTTAATTCTCCATTATTACGCATATCGGCTTACTCTCCATAACGGCCTTCATTACGGCCACGTGGAGAGGTGCTTCCGACCACGTAGGCACCTGTTGTCTATAAAGTCAACTTGCCACCTATGTCGATAGGTGGCACTAGCTTGGTTGTTTTCTTATAAATATTCAAACATAATTCATTATTAAGGTACAATCTTTATCTCTCTAACTCTCTCTCTCTTAAACACTTTCTCATCTCTTCTTTATTCTTTTCATAAAATTGGTGACTTTAGCATCGGAGCGGTTATCCCCGGATAATCCCCCAAGTTAGCTAATTTGTATTGACTGTGCAGGTACTTAATTGGCCGATAAACCTTTACGGATTCCAAGACTCAAGTTGCCGGAGCTCACCGGAACAGAAACACATCAACATTCTATAATTGTTTCCTTAAGACTTAGGTCTAGCTTGCCATTATGTAATTGAATTGCCTTAAGTCTGATCTATAGCTTAAATTAACATATAGTATCTATCTAGGATGACTTAAGAACACCCTAGTTACGACTTACGAGTAGTAGTAACCAGAAATTATGACTATAATATGATAATGATAGCATTAATAATTGAATATAACGTAGTATAAACGACCCATCGCTAAAGTCTAGTCCATACTGGTGGGCGCATCAAGTCGGTATGCCCATAATTAGCTTCAAACTGTCCATCACACAATAGTACAGTATGTTCCACTATGTTGTTAAAACGACCTATAATTTGACCTTGACTCAATATTATATTGAAATTCCACAAAAAAAAAATAAAAAAATAAAAAACGTACAACACGTATTATGTATATCTACAAAGGCCTCCACAATTTTCTTTGGATATTACGATCATTTGTGACTTTTCTTCCCTTCTATTCCTATACAATCTAAAACAATCTCAACCAAATACACACAATCAACAAATAAAAATCCAAACACACTTCTTTTCAATCTTTCCATCATGATCCCCTTGAAATCACTCTCCATTTTCTGCGTCTTCATAGTCCTTGTTTCCCTTATCTCCACATCCACCCATGCAGCCACCTTTACAGTAACAAACAACTGCCCTTACACTATTTGGGCCGGCGCAGTACCCGGTGGTGGCAAACGTATGAATACCGGTGACACATGGACTGTCACCGCCAACCCTGGCCAGACCGGTGGCCGAATTTGGCCCCGCACTGGGTGCACACCTAGTGGGGCCAATGGGCTCAAGTGCATCACAGGAGACTGTGGTGGGGTACTCCAATGCACAGCTTATGGTACACCCCCTAACACCTTAGCTGAATATGGCTTAAAACAATTTAACAACTTGGATTTCTTTGACATTTCCTTGGTTGATGGGTTCAATGTACCCATGAGTTTTTTGCCCGTAAATGGTTGTAGCAAAGGACCCACTTGCAAGGGTGACCTTATCGGCCCGTGCCCTGCTCACCTTAAGGCCCCGGGTGGATGCAACAACCCGTGCACTGCGCTCAAAGATGATAAATATTGTTGCATAAATAGTTTCAAGGATAATTGCCCTGCAACTGATTTATCTAGGTATTTTAAGGGTAAGTGCCCAGATGCTTACAGTTATCCTAAGGACGATGCTACTAGCACTTATACTTGCCCTTCTGGTACTAATTACAGGGTTACATTTTGTCCTTGATTCAAACTAAAAGTGTTGTACACTTGTACTATCATGAATAAATAATGGAATGTTATCCTAAATTCCTAATTAATACGTACTTTTATTCACAATGCATAAACCATTTTGAATTTCACAATTACCAACTAATCATCACTAATGATTTTTTTTTATTTAGCCTTTATTTCGAAGTATCAAATAAAATTAAGAAAATGTTATATGTAGCCCTAAAGGTTATGTATAAGAAACTAAAAGAGGTAAGTATTAATGAAATATATTCATTTGTACGTGATTTTGTCATGCATTCCTAAACTTATACCAAAAAAGGAAAGATATTAAATACTTATTTCAATTTGTAACCCTAAGGACTACATATAACATTATCTATATAATTATATAAATGAACAATCCATATAAATTATGAACATGCATCAAAATAACCTTGAACATTGTTTATTTGCTGGCAACAGCCGAGTGTATCATAACACTATTGGCTTAGGATTAACTTTCTAGTTGGGCCTGCTGTACAGTAGCCACCACAATAAATTACTTTTTTTTTTTTTTTTTTTTTTTTGAGATTAATTGATATCAACAACTAAAATTTATGTGTTAAATATTCTTGTGTGAAATGTCTTACATACTATAGTATCATGATATCTTAGCTTGTTATATTTGTTTCATTTGTTACATATTTTTTTGTATGAAAATGAATATTAATGGTTGTACTCTGTAATATGAAGTATATTAGGAAGGCTATAAAAATTTAACTAGAGTAAATATTTTAGGCTATTTGAAAACTGTCCTTTGAGATAATTAAAAAAAAAAAAATAAAAAAAAATTAACTGCAGGTACTTTAATTTAAAATTCTTTTATGTACTCGTATAATTATCGTCTTTGGATTAGTGAATGTGTCAATTCAATCAATAATGTCTTGTTTCCCCTAAATTGTGCATGTTTTTATTTCTCTTGTATGTGATCTATTTTTAATTGTACAGTTACGGAGTTTTGTTTTGTTTTGTTTTTTTTTTTGGCAAATTCAATGTAAAGCTTATCTTGCAATGCATGTGACATTTATTATCCATCAATTTATAGCAAGAGAACAAGTGAACAATCTCCTTTACATATAGTTAGAGGTGGCCAGTGGGCCGGGTTGGACCCAGCCCACCCTAACTCGCACGGCTGGTGGGTCACGTGGGTCCGACCCGGTTTCAATCCGGCACAGCCCGGCACAGCTCGGATTTAATCCGGGTTGTGTCGTGGGTCCAAAATTTTCGACACAACCCATTTCAACCCAGCTCAGTTTAACCCGTTTGATTCGACCCAAATCGCACAACCCGTTTTGACTCATTTAATTCGACACACCTAGCCCGTGAACCCACCTAACCCGACCCACCTGGCACAACCCAGCCCGCACGGCCCACCCGCACGAATGACCCACCCAACCCGCACGAGCCAACCCACCTAACCCGCACGCATGACCCACCCAACCCGCACGCATGACCCACCCAACCCGCACGGCCGGCACAACCCGCACGGCCCGCACAACCCGCACGGCCCGCACAGCCCGCACAATTCGCACGACCCGCACGGCCTAACATCCATTTAAAAAAAAAAAACGGCTAGTTTTTTGTATCTAACGGCTAGTTTTTTGTATCTAACGGCTAGTTTTTTAAGTGTATGATCATCCATTCTATTTTTCCTATAAATACCAATTCCATTTCACTCAAATTTCCACACAAATTCAAGCTTTCTTTCTCTCTTACTTAAAAATTCTTATTGTTCTCAAATTCTCAAGTGTTATATAGAGTTATATTTTTGTTAAAAAAAATCTCCTTAATATTATTATTAGTATTCTTAAGATTCTAAAAAAAAAAAGTTCTTCTCCATATTATAATTAGTAATCATACAAAAAAAAAATGAGCTCAAGAGGAGGAATGGGAAGGAGTCAAAGTGGTGGTCGAAGTGGTAGCCAAAGGAGTGGTGGTGCAAATTTTTCGTATGAAATTAATACGGAAAATTTAAACCAATTTGTCAATGAATATGGAGATTATGGTTTAGGAGATAGGCAAAATATTCAAACGTCTCCACCACAACATTTCTCCCACGAGTCCCACCAATCATCAAGTTCAACTATGCCACCTCCATCGCAACCAACATCTCAACCTTCATCTCAAGGTAATTTCTAATTAAATTTTTATTGTTATGAATATTTAAAAAAACTATTATTAATGATTATAAAGTTAGTTTAGTTTCCAATTTTCTATGATTTACAATTAGTTAATTACCATGAAAAATGCGTTTAAATAAGTATAATTAAAATATTTAAAATTTAAAAGCTTATTTTCATGAATAGCATTTAAAAATTAATTTTAATAATTTGATTTATGAAAGGTGGTGGCGGTGAAAGTAGAGGTCGAGCACATTTTTCTTGGGTGTGGAAACATTTTGAACGAGTTGAGGTCACACCCCCGGGATGGCAACCTGGTCAACCAAAGAGGTTCACGTGTACATGCCTAGTTTGCAAGGCGCTAGGTGCAAATGTCAAGTCATATAATTGGAAAACGGGAGATGGAACCGGAACCTTGAGTCGGCATTTGCAAAATAAACACGACTTGTTCGAAAATGGCCCCCGTCCTTCGGGGGGTGGCGTCCAAACACAATTGGGTGGATACATGAACCAACCCGGCGGAGGTACACCTTTCATTTATAATAAAGATAGAATGATTGATGAAATGAGTAATTTAGTTATTGCTAATGAATACCCTTTTAGTTACGGTGAAAATGCAAACGTTGAGCATTTTAATAAAGTTGCATTACAACCTGCATTTACTCGTGTCCCCCGAAATACCCTAAGACGTTATACACAAACTTCTTATTATAAGTATAGGAGTGGTTTGATTGAATTATTTCGTACTTTTGATGGTCGTGTTAGTTTTACAAGTGATACATGGACTTCTAGTTTTGGCGAACCTTTTCTTTGCATTACTGCTCATTGGGTGGATGATGATTGGTTTATTCAAAAACGTATACTATGTTTTCAAGCTATGGAAGAAAGGCATACCGGTTTTAACATCAAAGTTCGTATTTTGGATTGTTTAAAAGAATTTCACTTGAATAATAAAGTTTTTTCTTTGTCTCTTGATAATGCAACTGCAAACACAAAGTGTATTGACTATTTGAAAAATGACTCCGAGTTGAATTTGTTGTTGGGTGGTAGTCTCTTGCATGTTAGATGTTGTGCTCATATTTTGAATTTGTCTGTTCAAGAGGGTCTCGCTGAGTTGCAACCATTGCTAAACCCAATTAGAACAATTATAAAATGGATTAGGATTACTCAGTCAGTTAGAAGAAAGTACATAGCTATGTGTAAAGAGAGAGGTCTTAAGAAAAGACAATGGTCTATTGATACCCCTACCCGTTGGAATTCTACTTTCAAGTTGTTGAGTGATGCTATAAAGTATCGTGATATTTTGACCCAACTTTACAATGAGACTCGTGTTGATCCTACTGAGTTAATAACCGAAAGTCATTGGACTAATGCTTCTTTTGTTCGTGATGTTTTAAATGCTTTTGATAGTGCAACTCAGATTTTCTCTTATATTTATGAGCCTAACGTTCATTTAGTCATAATTGAGTGTGTTAAAGTTGTTCACACCATCGAAGAGCATATGAAGATTGATGGACTTCGTCCCGTTCTTGATAGCATGAAACGTAAGTGGCATACTTATTTTAGTGAATTTCCAATCATTTATGGAATTGCTGCTATTCTTGACCCCGGTGTCAAAGCTGAAGGTTTGGAAAATCTTTTAGAATTTTATTATACAAGTTTAAGTATCGATTATGATGTTAGTGAATATATTAACAAATGCAAATCTGTTTTGGGAGACCTTTATGATCATTATGCATCTATTTATGGTTTTGATTTGGCAACACCAACTACTACTAGCACTTCCGATTCTAGATTTGGTTTTCTTGATAAAGTTATGAAAAAAAAACACAAAGCATCTACATCATTCTCATCATCATCTTCTTCAACACTTGCTATTAATGATTATTTGTCATATCAACATGAGACCAACAACAACTTTCAAATTATAAAATGGTGGCAAGAACATAAAAAAAGTTTTCCTATATTGGCGAGAATTGCAAAAGATATACTTGCAGTTCCCGCTTCATCTGTTGCTTCCGAGTTTGCTTTTAGTGCAGGTAGAAGAGTGTTAGATGAAAAAAGATCTCGCTTAACTCCGGAAAGCATTCAAATTTGTGTTTGTAAGAAAGATTGGGATCAAGCTGAAAGAAGAACTCAAGGTTTAAAGGAAGACGAAGACGATGAAGATGATCCTGTGATGATATTGGAGTCGTCAACGGATGATGCAGCTTCCGGGGATGATGATGCAACAAACATGGGTGGCTAGAAAAGTCTAAATCAGGTACGCTAAGAACTACGTGGGCTTTGATTCTTTCGGGATACGTAGGCAACTTATTTTTCGAAAATTACAATTTAATTGCAAAATTAAATTTTAGTTTTCTAAAGATAGGTCCAAGCCCCCCCCCCCAAATTTCAAAAGAAGTACAATATAAGAACTACGCTGGCTTTGATTCCTTATTTTATAATATAAGGATACGTAGGCATCTTAATTAAGAGCAAGCCATCAAATTGTTAATTTTGTAAAAATTAAAACACCACACAACCCACCCGACCCTAACCCACGAACCCACCCGACCCTAACCCACAAACCCACCCGACCCTAACCCACCTAACCCACAAACCCACCCGACCCTAACCCACTAACCCACCCGACCCTAACCCACCTAACCCACAAACCCACCCGACCCTAACCCACTAACCCACCCTTCGACCCACCCTAACTCACTAACCCACCTTGACCCGTCTAACCCACGAACCTAGCTCGACCCACCCATGACCCGTCTAACCCACAAACCCAGCTCGACCCACCCACGATCCGTCTAACCCACAAACCCAGCTCGACCCACCCACGACTCGTCTAACCCACGAACCTAACCCTGGTGTGTCCAACTTCTCCGACCCAACCCACGACCCGGCCCACCCTACCCTACGTGTGTCGTGCCGTGTGTCATGAAACCCCAACCCGCGACCCACCTAACCCTAACCCAGCTCGCACGACTCGCACGGTGGACACCTCTACATATAGTTGTATCAATGGCGATTCATGTCATCTCATGTGGCCCACTTATTACTTCAATCATCAATGTACTACTTCCATTTCATATCCCTTACCTTATAAAAAGTTTAAAACTCTTATAATTTGCCCCCATAAATTCAAAAGTTTTAAAAATGTCTCTTGAATCCCCTAAATTGATTAATTATACTAAATTGGTATAACAATTTTTCTCACTTTATATAGCATAAAAACCATCGATAATTGTAACGATTTATTATTAAATATATAAAAGATTATATTTTAAAAAAAGCCAACAACCTTAAATATTTTTATTAATAAAGAAATAATGGCCATAACCACAAAATGTCGCACTTAAAACTAAATGGATCACAAAGTATAGAATAGACAAACAAGTTACAAGTATAAATAAACACAACATAACATTATTATTATTTCGTATTATATATTTTGAGTTTACGACCATTATTTTTTTCAGCTGAAAATACAGAATGCTAGAGCTGAACATATAAGATCAACTAGCTCTAGCTTATTGCACATATAGTTGAATTTCCATCAATCTATAGCTTTAATACAACACATGTATGTATATATGAATTGAACTAACAACATGGGTGATACTAAAAGCGAAAATCGCGCACTTTATAAGACCATAGTTGATGAATGTTCAAGGACAGAAAGTGAGCCTGTAATTAGTACCAGATGGACAAGCAAAAGTGCTGCTTTGATCATCCTTAGGGAAACTATAAGCATCAGGGCACCTTTGCTTGTAAAACTTAGAGTCACCATTAGCACCACATGTTCCGATACCTTGTGTTGTGCAAGGACTGTTACACCCTCCGGGAACCTTCCAGTTTCGCGGGCACTGCCCGTTAATATCAGCCGTGCACCTAAGTGTACGACACTTCCCACCAAGTGAACCGGAGTTGGAAGTGGGAGTGAAGGAGATAGGGATATTAAAGCCTTCGATAAGGGAGATATCGATGGTGTCGGTTGGATTATTGGGTTGTGCTAGAGTATACTCGAATAGAGTCTTTGGGATTGTGCCCCAATTACCCGGGTTACACACTAGTTTACCACAGCCTCCGGTTTGACAATTGCCGTTGCCATTGCCATCAAAGTTGCACCCAGTTCGACCCCAGATACGTGCCATTTTGGTCCCGGGTGCTGGGTTTACGTTCCATGTGTTTCCTTTAGTGAGGCGCCTACCGCCTCCTGGATCAGCGGCAGCCCACACGGTGTAGTCGCAGTTGTTGACTACGGTGATGGTGGTTGCATGGGTGATTGTAATGATGGATAGTAAAAATATTGTAACGAGGGAAGCAGATAAAGTCGTCATGATGAAATGAAATGGTAATGGTATATTTTGGTAGTAAATTATGTAATGAAGTTTTGATGTGAGGAAATGTTGAAATGATGAGGGGTGTTTATATAGAGTTTAGAGGCGGCCAATTTGTTCTTGTTTGCGTAAGTTTTGGTTAATTAAATGATAGTTTAATTGTATCGAGTTGTCAAAAGATTTGGCACATTGGCACATTGTTGACTTGGCTCACTTGGGAGTATGGAAAATTGTCCTTGAGTTATTTCCGTGGGAAAATTGTCCCTGAATAATTTATTGTTTGTCTCTCAAAACATAGAAAAAGTGGATAGCATAAGAGAGGGTGGACAGAAAAATGTAAATTGAGTGGAGTAAGATAGGAAAGGATGTAAGATAATAAGTTAATAGCACGAGTTTGCAAAAATATTACCCCTCTGTTCCATAATGTAGTTCTTGTTTGTGTTTTTGTACGGTATTTAAGAAATTGGAGGAAAAAGTGGATGAAGTACATTAATAAAAGTGAAAAGTACAATCATAGACAAAAGTTAGAGAGAAAAAGTGGATAAAAGTACAAGACGTGTGCAAAATTCAAGGGTAATTTAGGAAGTACAATGAATAAAGTTAAAATAAGTGAGGTTATAATAATCTTTACATACTATCCAAATATAGAAATAAGAATAACATTTTAGATTTCCAAAATAGGAAAACAGGAACTATATTATGAGACGGGGGGAATATAAAAGTATGAAATAAGTTGAACTTTTGAAAACAGATAGTGTATATTAGTAGAAATTGTCACAACTTTCATATAGTATTTATTGTGAAAATGAGTATGGAGTAGTCAACAAGTACTGTACCATCACATAAATCTTCCATTCTCTTAGTTTTTTTTTTTTTGTACTTTTTGGTTTCAAATTAGGTGATACAATTTGAGATTTATAAACTTTATTTTGACTAGTTATTGTGATTTATAAGAAAAAAATAGTCGTGTAAGAACTTATTGGTATCCTCTAGGGGTGAGCAAAGACCCAGGGTACCCGGTACTAGATTCGGAACCGGTTAGGATCCGTCGGGTCCGGACCCGGAACTGGTCCCACCGGTTCCGGGACCGGGTCCAAAATGTCGGACCCGGTTGTAACCGGTTCCGGGTCCTAAAATTTCGGACCCGGTACCCACTGGGTACCCGATTTAAACCAATTTCAGTTCCGGGTACCCGGTCCCGGATCCAGACAATCCGGGTACCCGGAACCGGTACTGATTTAGTTATAAAAAATTAATTTTTTTTTTAAAAAACCCAACAATCCACAGTCCAATACAACATTAGGCCCATTTCATCCAATTCATTTCTGCTAGGGTTTCTGTCAGCCACTAAGCCTCCTCATTTCATTGAATTCATTTTTGCTAGGGTTTTGTTCTTCTCTGTTCATTCTCGATCTTCTCTGTTCTCCTCTGAAAATCTCATCTTGTCTTTTGTTCTCCTCAAAATCTCATCCTCTCTTTCGTTCTCATCAATTCACTGATTCTCGGTCTTCTCCAGTACCGAACGACTGTCTCTTTCGTAAGTATTTTTCTCACTTTGTTTGCCTTTTGTTTCATCTTGCATATGTAGATCTCTGGTACTGTTTATTGCTGCTTGCATTTTCTTTGGAGATGTGTGTACTATGTATTTGTGTAATGCCTAATTGAAGAATCAACTCCCTGATATTGCATATAATCACTCTCACTTTGTTTATTTTAATGTACTAATTTACTCTCGTGCAGTGTTTGACCCAATTTGAAATTAAATTCGAGCAAATAAGTCTCAACAAAATTATGTTTGATAATTTATTTTATAGTGTATCAATTAATATACTCTCTACACTTTAGCTTTGTTCCGTATATTGTTTGATTTAACTATGACTCTCTTAAAAGGAAGGAAATATGAGCAATTTCTAGATCCTAATTAGCATCCTCTGGGGTGGAGTTTGCGTACACACAAACAACATATAAGAACTTTTAATAATTACTCAAATTTACATAAGAATTTAGTTTTGAAAAGTCAATAAAAACCACAAACATTCTAATGCAGGACGAGCATTATAGCCTTGAAGACCTTGAACATTTATATGAACATGAGAGTGATTAACTGATTATAGCATTATGAAGTGATTTTTAATTTGATATAGTATGATGCAACAACTTGCTAACTATAGTCCAAAAGATTATAGCTTTAAACTCACAGTATGTAGAAGTGTCTGATTTGCATTCATACTCATTACTGAATATTCTATCTCACTAAGTCACTATGTCTCAAAAGCTGATTTGGTTAGATTTATGTATGGTAACTTGGTAAGTGATATTAGATATTAGATGTGGTGCAATTTGTAACAAAAAACAAGAAAATCTAAACTATATCAGACATATTTTTCATAGATTGTAAGATTTGTAACTATGTAGTTTATATTTTTTTTTTGTTAAAATTTCAATTCAGAGATTGTAATGTTTCTGTCTTATTAAAGTTTAATTTGTTCCTAATTTTCAGAACTATGAGCAATACCGACAATTCATCAGTCCCTATGGATGATGAAAGTGAGGTTGGAAACGAGAATGCAACAACCAAATCAACCAAGGTTGGTGACAAGAGGAAGTCTGAATACTGGAACCATTTTTGGGATTTTAGAGATCCAGTAACCAAAAAAAATTGTTCAAGTCAAATGCAAATATTGTGAGAAAATGCTAACAGGTAATACTTGTTTCGGGGTTTTCTGATGTCCTGCGGGAGAGTTACAATTCCGAGACTGGAACCGGACGCCTGTACCTGCAAAACAACGGAGACTCCTGGTGGTGGGAGCTCCGCCTCCGACGGTCAAGTTAGTACTTGATTAAGGAGTAATTAATGCGGAAATTAAAGTGATTGGGTCTCTCTAGGTGAGAGTGTTTAATGTGTGTAATCTGCGTTTTTTAGCCCGTTCCCCCCCTTAATGAGGATTAAGGGAGGTATTTATAACCTAGGGAAACGTGCCAATCCTAGGTTTAGGTTAACCTAGGGCTGATTGGGCTTCCCTCGGAAGTTGGGCCTGGGTGGCCGGTTTCTCCATTAGGCATGGAGTATGCCACGTGTCATGACATAATAGGTCCAAGGTGGACGAATAAGCGTGTGCCACGTGGCAAGCCCTGACAGTTCCAGCTGGGGGACACTTGGCAGGACCTGATTGGCCCACGTGGCGCATTCCGATTGGTGGGAGCAAAATCCCCTAATCATTTGCCCCTCACAGGTGGCACGTGATTGGTCACGTGTTACCTGTGACAGGTGTCGCACTGTAACAGGCGACTGCCTGCTACAGGTGTCACTCGGCGAAAGGCCGAGAGATTCTCCCGCCCAAATTATGAATTCTGGAAGTGACCCTTCGCCTTCTCACTTCGCCTATATAAGGGAGTGTTGACTTCAGTCATTTTCACACGAGAACTTTTTGAGAGAACATTCGAACCCCTGAACTTGCTCTGACATTTTGGACCCTTTCTGCCTACCGCCTGCTCTGACAAGCCGACTGCACAGGATTTTCAGAACTCCATCAACGTCACTCGTTCAGGTAACCGTCAGTTCTCTTACTCTTAATTTTCTCTTTGTTTTATTCTTTTTTGAAATGGCACCACGGAAGCACACAACACGACCTAGGTTAGTGATCAGCCGGTCACCGGGGACGGCTGAATCTAGGACTAGGAGTGCCGCCTGCCCTTTTCTGGACCCATCTTTGCCCTTTATACAAAGTCCGACTGTATCTGTGTCTATGCAGAGCATGATGGCCAGAACAAAAAAGACTGCCAGGATCTCAAACTCAGACGGCTCCTCCCACAGGGTGCCGATTAGTGAAACATCTGACCAGGCGCCAGATGTGGAAGTGAAACAAAGCGGCTTGAAAGCCGGCAGTTCTGAGGGAGGAGTCAAAGTGACCCCTTCCCATTTTACAGTTGACAATTCTTCATTCTCTCCTGCTCCTTTTAAAGGAGAGGAGGCGGGCCCCTCCGGGAGAGGGGAGGAGTCGTCCTCTTCGGACTCGTTAGAGGACGATTCCGAGTCTAGCTCTTCTGGCCATGCTTCCCTGGACTTAGAAGAGAAAAACAGTCGCCTGCAGGAGGCGAGGCTTTCTCACGCAGTTGAGAAGGGGGACGATTGGGCGGAGCCATCCACCTCTCACCGAGAGCAAAATACCCCCTACTACTGCACGGTACCTCGGGGCCGGATCACGGCCATGCAAGAGAAAGTGGAGAGCTTTATCGCAAACCACACAATGGGCCCCGGCTTTTTAGTGTTTGTGCCAGATCCAGAAGACACAGTCGTCTGGCCGGCTGGTACCAGTTATGATGGCGCCTGCTTTGGCTGCTACGAGGCGGCCATCAAGGCTGGGCTGCGCTTCCCACTACATCCGGCTGTTCAGCGGATCTTGGATGGGTATGAGTTGGGGTTATGGAAGTTAGCCCCGAACTCCTGGGTCAACGTACTCGGCTATGTGGCCGGGTGCGAACTGCACGGGGTGGAGCCGAGCTTCGAGGCTTTCGCCCACATGAACTACCTCAGCCGGACCCCTAAGGCAGGCGGTACCGGCTGGTATCAATTGACGAGCCACAGGGGCTACCTCATGACGAGAGGTAAAGCAAACAAATGGAAGGACTGGCGGAGCACCTTCCTCATCATTGAGAGTTCAGACACAGAGCTGAACAAGCGCTTCAACAGGTGGAACAGGAATCCGCCCCTTCTTGCAGGCGGCCGCAGTATGCCGCCTGTTCCCCCCAAGGCTAAGAAAGAGATCCTAGATAAAGGACTCTTCAAAGTAGAGTCGAGGGTGAACTCTACTTCAGGGGTACGAGAGCAAGTACCCCTGCACTGCGTCCCGAGCTTCAAATGGCTCTACGACGAGTACTTTTTGGCCGTCTGTGGCCTCAGCAGTCGGTGCTTAAGAGGTAGCCGGCCTGTCGAATACTCTGTTGTTCCATGCATTTCTTGTTATGACTTTTATTAACTTTGCTATTTGTTTTTGCAGCGGACGCCATGAGCAAAATTACCGCCTCCAAGACTGCGGCGGCCATGTTGCGGGCCTCCATCATGCAACAGTCTTCAACCGA